CCGTTTCTGTTTTTGCGGGCGAAGCCGCAACGGGTCATCTAGTTGAGAATGAATCTTCCGTTAGGATACAGAAAGATACATAGCCTTTTTGAAATTTCCCCTCCCGCATGTAGCGCAGCCCCGAATGCTGGCAGCACCAATTCTAAGGCCCAAACTGAAATTCTGATGTGGCCATATGATCCGCGTCGCCTCAAAACCCCCGATCTGACTCCTAGTTTGCTCAAAACGATCCACAAACGACCGTGCTACACCAATTTCAACCTCGTCCTTCTCCCCTACTGCTCATTACTTCCTCCCTGATCCTTGGGATCCGCCCCTATTCTATCCTTCCGTTTTCTCCATCCCTCTCATCTCCCTTATCTCACTTCTTCCTTTCTACCTCCGTCGCTCTTGGCTTAGCGCTCATCACCCCTCCGCCTACACCATCTCAGTCTGCACCCAGCGCGATTCTTGGTCGGGTTCCTTCCTCTTTCCTTGCCCCTCTCTGCCTAATGCTAGCGCCCGTTGTCCCCTCTTACCCCCTTCACTGCCGGTCCGCCGGTGCCTTAGCGTAGCAGCCTCCTTTGTTGCTCCGGGCAGCCCTGCGGGAAAATTCCTGGGAGAGATCAGCTGCCGGCTGGTCCGATAATCCTGTCGCCCTTGTAGTCAAGTCCGACGGCCGATTCGCATATTGGCACCGCTGCGTGCCTTCGTCGAGTCTCCCCGGGCCCGTTTCTCTCAAAGGGAACCCTCCGTCTCCTCGGATGCCTCAATAGACAGGCCCGTGCACAGCCAACCAAGTGCTGGGGCCAGGGGCGCGATTCTTGCTAGAGGGCCCATGCATGGGCCTAAAAAGCACCGGCTCTGTGCAGGGATTCGGCATTAGTAGCAAATACTGAAGTGAGAGCTTTGAAGACCGAAGAGGAGGAGAGTCCTTCGGGCATACTCACACCCACCCCCTTCACTGTGGACTGCGTGGGGACGGACGGTGCTCCCGCAGAACGCCCCCGCCACTCAGGCTCCTTCCGGCTCGTGGGCTAATCACTCACTCGCTCGCATGCACACTAAATTCCTCGGTCCGCGTTTCAGAATATACGGAGTACAGGAGCTTCGCCGGCATCCCGAAGACGTAGAACCCCACAGGTCAACTGAAGGGGGCACGTGCTCAGGGTCCTTGACTTTCGTGACGGCCTCTAAATTCCGTCTTAGTGTCTGAATCCAGGAATGCCGGAGCATAAAATAATAATGATACAATAATAATAAAAAAAAGAATATTTAGGAACTATTAATCGTCAGAATACGACGAACGAGGAAAAAGGAAAACACTAGCTCCGTTCTTTTTTTTTTTCTTTTTAGACTAGTCTGGAAGGCCGGTGAAAAATTCACGTAAGCTGCTTTAGTGTGCTCAGCCCACGGTATTCTTTAGTAAAAGGCGAAAGAATAGTACGCCCACTGAGCTGGGCATGCTCCGTTCTAAACACCGCCGGTGGCAAAACCAGGGGGGATAGCCCCCCACCGGGCCCTCAACCCCTCGGTCCCTTCGCGCTACTCTGATATCCTCGCACCGTCGTCCGCTCGCCTCGATCCCTGAATCCCCGGATGAAAGCCCGACGCTGTAACCAATAGTGCTAGGCCCAAGGCTGAGCCATCTAAATAAACTGATACTGCGTGACGCGCGGACCTACTGGAAACACTTCAAAGCCACCTTGTTGTTGATGCCGTTGTCCGCATGTGCGCACAAATCACAGGTAAGCAGTACTAAGCACACCAATCAGGAGACGAAGTCTTTTTAATCCCTTTTTTTTTTCTTTTTTTTTTTATGAACAAAAGTCGCCCCCACCAGTGTTAGTGGTGCTGATAAGAGCAGACACCACTAACACCTGGGGAGAGGCTCCATCTATTGATGGGGAGCATCACCTGCTGGAAATAAAAACTTGGCCGGCAACTACGCCGGCCCCACAATCATCAACAAGAAAAGAAATCATGCGCGCCTTAAGTCTGCGCGCCCACACACTCCCTACTCTAGTCATCCATTATATCATCGTAAACCAGGACACAGCCGCGCCTCGCCAGGGAAGATACCCTTGTAAGGGTATTCGCACAGACCGTGCATGCTCATACCATCACCCCTAGATGCTGCTGGTGGTGCCTTAAAAAAAAAAAGAAAAAAAAAAAGAAAAAGAAAGATGGGATTCGTGCTGCATCACGTTGTCGATGGGAAGAGGGTGCTAAGCGGAGGGGTACGATGGAGAGATCTGGACGGTCTGCTATTGGGTATTGGGATACCAGACCAGTCCAGGCCAGACCAGACCAGTTGAAATTCCCAACCAAATTCAAAAGGGGAAAATGGAGAATAAATCTGAATAATAGAAATAAATATTCAAAATAAAAAAAGTATATTTAATAATAAACTGCGTTATCAACTGGGCTGCCTGGGTCACCTTCGTTGCCGGGGGGGTCCGGCCGGGCAAGGGCCAGGGAACATCCCTGCAAAAAAAAAAAAAAAAAACGAAAAAAACTATGTTGTGCAGAGAAATATTGAGCAACTTTTTTTTTTT